AACGGCCTCAGAATGCCAGGCGCATACGCTGTCAGGGGCCACAGGCAATCAGCTCCAAACAGAGCTTCTTCAGTACCTCAAGAATAAACGTGGAGAGGCTGGTTGCCCTGTGCATCCTGTGCTTGGGACGAAGCAGACGTGTGTGAGACATTTAGACGAGACACCGAGGTCATTCTGAAAGTTGCACATGTTTCTTTTCTAATCAACTGCAGCAGCGCACCTATCTATGACTTTTCTACACCTGCCAAACATGCAGGATAAAACAACCAAAAAAGATGCAGCCAGGGCCGGATGCTGAGCCGAGCAGATTCCTTGCAAGTGCATCAAGAAGCCTTACAATTTTATAGCATACACACACCCTGAAGTTTTCATAAGTTTTCCTCTGCGCTTTGAACATGTTTGAACTAACTTGCAATTTCTCGACTCCTGCATTCTTGCTTTTGTTTCAATAGGCTGGAGAGATTACCCTCAATATGCTGGAGGACTGTACGTTTATCATTGTTTATCATTGAGATGGAATCACTCTTTACATTGCTTTGATATGCTTATCAGTTTCCGCTTAAAGGAGAAACGCCTTTGGCCAGAAGCGATAGAAGCGATGGTGTAAGTCATGAATCATGACCGACATCCGAGACATCTCCAGAGAAGCTGATCTCATTTGCAATTCTGCCACGTTGCCACGTGTACAGTTGCAAGCTGTGGGCTTCAACTTTCACGGAGAATCCGTAGCAGTGCTGACTACCCCGTGTAGAAAGCAAAGCAGTAAGACCAGATGTAAATGAATGGTATCGATGAAGGAGATGACTATGACCCTTTTGGTATTTTATAAGACTATTTGGCTTTCGAACATGGTCTATGCATGTGCTGCTTGATGTGTCACTCCATTCCAGACATAGCCTCTAGATGAGTCTAGAATCTAGAAGATGAGAAACAGCCGCAGCGGCACGAAGAAAGAACGTGCACTTGGGCTGCACTTACGTTCTTGCTTTTCGATGCGCCACCTTCAACTCTTGACTTCGCGGTCCTACGTATGAAGCAACATGAAACTAGATGAAACTACTGTTTCTGCAGTTTCAATTGAAATTGCATGCTGCAGGCAGGCTTGCTTTAGCTGCTCTTTGATCGCATCACAATCTGTTTGAACATCTCCACTGCCAAAACCCTGTCCGGTTCATGTTGATTCAAAGCCTCAAGACTCTTAGACCAATGCTCCTTTTGCCTTCTGATACGCCTCTCACAACTTGCGTGGGCCTCCATGCCGTTGACTGCGATTGGCTATGCTGTCCCACCTCAGGCTGTGCTTCATGCATGTTTCGCGTGAAGAGTCACGGATTCTTTAGATTCCTTTCGTTTGTTGTAAAACATGCAGACAAGAATAGTGTAGAAGCCTTGTTGCCGAGAAGGACGCTAACTAGAGTGCAACATAAGAAAATGCATATTGGCTCCATCTCCAGTAACAAACATGACTGACCAGAAAGGGCAGAAGATGGCAGAAGCCAGTGTCCAGGGGCAGAATGTGGAAAGAGCCTGCTGCATTGCAAAAAACTATTTGTTGGGCCTTTGTTGGGCCTTTCTGCTCCAAGCTGCATTTGCAACTGTGGCAACTGTGAGCAAGGGATTGGCGTTGTGCACCACTGCATGATGTCGCAGGGGACGTCCATGCTACAGCATCCACCAGATGAAGAGCCTGCGACCGACTTTGCGTCAAGAAAGGACACCATGTTCCTTGTTGAGCAAACGGAAGGCAGTCAGTGCATAAAGATCATAAAGCTACTCCAAATCTTTGACTCAAAGCACAAAATGGCACCCTCCAAGAATGATCCGAGGTCCTTGGATGTTGTGCGGCCAAAGGATGTACCTCGTGGCCGGGTTCGGTGTGAAAAAGAATACCAGCAGGCGCACTGGATCACACTAGCCATAGCAATGACATGCAAAAACATCCAGACAATCGGTTTGGTCTCGCTCAGTCTGTTGCAGAGATTGGACACCATTTGCTGCGCCCAAGCATGACCATTGGATGCACTTGTGCATGCACCAAGTCACCAAGACTCCACACACCTGGACATTCAACAGAGTTCAACATGCAGCGGCAAGGAGTTGTGTTGATTCGCACAAGCGCAAGTGATCACTTGGGTCTCCCTAAACTGCTTAAAACTTCGCAGAACAGACAACCCAAGCCATTCGCTGTTTGGGAAGATTCTAGAGCCTGCAAGCAACATCGATTTGAAGTGGTCTATCTCATCTATCTATTTGGATTCTCTTCACATTTGCTGAATCAACCTGGTTTGTATTGCTTGGGCATGTTTCGATCAAGTTTGAAGTTTCTGAGTGGCCGGTGCTTGTGCCTCTGCCAGTCACTCACTGCTGATGATATTCCGGGCGCCCGGCCAGAGTCTGTTCCTCACTCGATTGCACAGATAGCTTCCGTGAACGTTGAAACGTTGAAACGTTGAAACGTTGAACGAATTCCTGAAGGTATCTGCGTCGAAGCCTGCAGCTCGATGGGGCTGACAAGGAGCAGCTGTACACGTTTCGAATTTCTATAATTTTCTATACATTTCTCCAGTTTGTATTATCTTGGTGCTGATGTGCCGGCAAAGTGGTAAGGAAAGAAACTTCCCTGTGCCCAATCAGGATCCAGTGAAGGGATCTACTTCCAGGAAGTACCCAGAGTTGAACAAAGTCAAAGACTTATCTCTCAGTACACATGATGTAGACGGAGCACAACCCAAGGCGCCCTGGGCTGTTGCCAGTCAAAGTCGCGGTACTGTAAGAGGCTTTTAAGATAGTCTAAGAGTATAGAGGACTTTCTGTGAAGGGGCCAAAGGGCTTGCACATTCCATCCTTTCCGGTTGATTGGACTTACTCATTTGCCGTTCCTCTGACTTCGGACTGGTTGATTTTGGCTGTGGTAATTCCTGGTGGTTGTAAGATTCCTCAACCACAGCCTCTGTAGATGGACTTCGAGTCCAAAATACAAGTTGCCTTAACTGGACAGCGAGAGATGAGAGAGTGTGTGTGATCAAAGCAACAGCATAATGAAGCGGGACATGGATTCAACCCTTTTTTAGATCTCTTAGTAAAGCTTTGTTCACAAACTTCTTTGGCAGCTGTTTCCATACTCTGGATGACACAGGTGCGCCCTCTCTTTGGGCTTTTGGTATCATCCTGTAAGATACAGAATCACACGCCGCAGTCCAAATCGGCGGAATACTTCATGGTGTACCACAGGGAAACTTATTTTTCAAGAATCCCTGGGCGTAGAAGATAGCAATGGTGCCGTCCTGATCATCTCCAAATATATCCTTGTCCACTCAACGTTTGCTGATTGACCACCAACCTCCCAGATGTCCCGGAAAAATTCTTTTGCCAAATATCAATCCGACAGTCGGCTTTCTTTTGATGCATTTGAAGCAGGTCCAGATCTTCACTACGACGCGAAACACAAACCCATTGACTCCCAGGCAGATTTTGAACATACTTGAACGCACACTGTGCACACCTTGCTTTCCCTAGACCACCAAATTTCCGTCAAATGCGGCTGACATGAGCTGATGGATAACTTGTCCGACTGGTTTAGGTACAAATTGCAATCCACGGAGTACAAGCCAGCTCCTGCAAATCCAATGCGGTTGCACGACGGTACCCTGCGTGAAACAATGGATTTCAAGGCAGGATGGTAAGAGAAAAGAATGCGTCGGATGCACATCGTCACATCATGGCCACTTGAGTCCCCTATGCAGAAGTGCTTCTTGAGCGCTTCTACATCTCTTGACAGCCTAGGCCAATTCAGTGTCGAGATTCCCTGTGCGGGACTGGACGATGGCGTGGAATTTGGAAGTTACAGTAGATGAACTTGGAAGCATCTCACTCCTCTTCGGCTTCCGGGGAATGAGTCACGGCAAGTCTATGGTAGCAAGTCGCAAATCCACCTGTGTCTTTTGAAGGACTATCAACATGATCCTGCAGACGGACGAGACATCGAGCAGCTCGGCGGCATGTGTACGTGAATTGATAAGAGATACATGTGAGACCAGCGTTTGGACTCATACCTGTCTCATACCTGTCTCATCCTGGATCTTCAAACGTTTTACGATAATATATATGATATATGACAAATAATATATAATATATAATACATAATATATAATATATAATACATAATATATAATATATAATATAATTATAATATATGATATATAATATATAATATATAATATATAATATATAATATATAATATATAATATATAATATAATAATATAATACTATATAATATATAATACATAATATATAATATATAATATATAATATAATATATATATACGTATAATTACAGAAAGACAATCTTCTGGGATGCAAGCCGAGGCTATCTCAGCCCAACATCAAAGGGAGAATCAACTACCCAACTCCTCGAGAAGACCTCAAGAGGAGACCGCATGTGGCGGCTCCTTATGGTGCCAAAGAACACACTGGAGAAGCCGAACAAGAATCAGAAAGACTCAGAAAGAAGGAGGGTAAGAGCAAGAAAAGAACACTAAATCAGCTCCAAGCAGCTTAGTGCTTCTGCATCTTATCAGGACACTCGAAAGGTCTGGAGAAAGGATACTTTCAGGGAAGTGCTATGCTTCTGGCCGGCATGCACTGCAACCTGAGTATCTAGCCTGGACCACAGACAGGACATACATGGACATACCATAGGCAGGAAGTTCAGGTTCTTCAGTTCTGAATGACTGCAAATTTCTCCTAGCCATAAAAGAGGCTCGAGCAAGAACACATGTCACACGCCAGCCAATTGTCTGTTTCATTGTCTCTGTCCATTGCCCTCCACCGCCATCTTTCAGACAATGCTTCTGCCTCTTCTTGCTACAATCTCTCAAGCTCCCAAAGCCCATTCCACTATGTCAATGTGTCATTTGTACACATTTGTACAATTTAGTTTCCGCATCAGTTTACCCATCAGACTTGTAGCGATGTAGCACAACCCACAGCATTGTGGACCTATGTCGGGCCTCGAAGCCAAGCGACCACCCCAGGTGCGTTCCTCATACGTTTGCAATCGTTTGCACTTTGTTGGGCCTTCGCTACTTCAATGTATTGCATGCATGTGTTTGTGTGCTTTTCAGAATGCCTAACATGTGCAAAACGCTCAGTTCTTCAATGGCTGCCACAAACATCAAGGTCGGATCTTGTTGGTGCGAACGGAGTGACTGAGATGAGAAAGGAATTGAAACTTGAAAGCTTCCCGAGTGCTTAGTACTCTTACATTTTAGTACAGTACAGTGTCAACAAATGTTGCTCTGAAGGTGTACATCCGAGTGCGCCCTGGAAAGGCAGCAGAAGGTTTCAAGGACTTCGCGACTGACTTCCGATTGACTGTCGCTTCCAAACATTTCAAACTTCTGGTGGTCCAGAGAGCTGCAGCCCAATGCGCGCAGGCAGATACCGAAAAGGGCATTCTGTCCTTCAACCTGCCAGAAGCTTCGCCGCTTGGCTGCCCTGTTTATTCCTGCTGCACTAAAAAATGGCCTCGCTTACAAGTCGCATACTGAGGTCAGAGTACGATGTAAACAACCAGAAAAGAACCCACACTTTCCAGTTCGATGGTGCCAGGAGCTTGGTTGTCAAGATGTACTGTACAGATCTGTAGAGTCACTGCACTGGGATGTCATAAAAAATCTGTGAGTCTGCCAGAGTTTGAGGTCTTGGGCATGCAGGTCAAACAGCAAGAGGTGCTTGACGCAGTTGCACGACCAGTAATCCAGGAGCCATTACCAGGGTAGCAGGACAGTATACAGTATAATGATAAGGCCGGACATGCACACGTAGGAAGTGGAAAACGGCCACTTGTTCCTTTGTGTCTAGGATGTGCTGAATGGCGTCAACGGAACAATCTTTGCCTACGGTCAAACTGGCAACTTTGGATGCATTCTACATTTACAGTAACTGGATGTGATTTGATATCCTTCCTGTTCTCTTTGGTGCTCTTTTTCCGATTTCAGCGCTGCAGTTCTGGTACCCAGGCAGTGGCAAGACCTTCACAATCACTGGTGGGGCAGAGAACTATGAGGATCGTGGATTGATTCCGCGCACTCTCAGGCTGATGTTCGAGGCGACGCTGCATGATGCAATGATGCAATGATGCGTTTCAGTCCATCCATTGTTGGCAAAGAAGCGATTTGAGCAGAGAAAGCAAGGACCGCAGGCTGGTCTAAACTGGACAGGCTTTTCGAAAGGGACCAGCCCAATACCGTATGTACATCTCGTACCTGGAGATATACCAGGACTTTGCGATGTCTTTTTCCGATTGTATCTTCTGTGAGTGCCTGTGTCTGCTTTAGATCTGGCCCACAGCTCAATCTAGGCTCGAGGTGAGCGTTCCAAAATAGCAATTATCAGTATCAGATAGTATCAGCAACCGCTGCATGTTTGCTTTCTTGATTAAAGGGAAAAGCGAGAGCTGCAGTTTGACATTTGCCTCCCATTGCAGGATAGTGGATATGATCTTCTTCGCGATGACTCTGTGCAATCTTTAGCTGGAAGTCTTGCCTTCGCTTGACGCGTTCTTTCTTTCCTGGAATTACTTGACAACAACATGACGTCACATGCTGCGCTCCTTCGATCCAAGGTGCGAAATCTGCAAGATCTTCCGAAAGTGCAGCTTAGAGAGGTCCTGAAAGATCCAGTCTCTCAAAACTTTCAAGATATTTGAATGAAGATCTCTGAAGATCTCAGTCTTCGCAGGACGAAGATGGAAACATGCATCTTCGAAACCTTTCGGTCAATCTGGCCGCCTCAGAGGAGGCTGGCATACATCAGGGTTTTGGACACAGCTATATGATATATGTATTATATGTATTACAACTATATATAATTACATATTATTGTATATGTACAAAAATCTATAGTGTGTCAACTTGAATCCAAAGAAAGAAGTACCGCATTGTCTTTCACGATGCTACCATCATTCACAATCATTTGTGCAGGATGCTTTGAACCTCTTGTTCTTGGGTGACACAAATCGAGTCGTTGCTGTCCTGGGCTGAGTTGTTGTTTCCCCTTTTCAAACAATCGGTGAGCAGTAGGAAGTTGCAGCTTTGCAAGAGCTTTGCAAGAGCCTTGCCTTGCAACATCGCTGTTTAAGGAGACACCGATGAATGACGCCAGTACACGATCGCACTGCCTCTTCATCATTTGGGTTGACTCCACTGAAGAGGGAAGCGATGCCTAGCCCTGAGCTGGGACGGAGCGTCTTTCACTAAAGCCTCAGGCTTGTTGGAGGGTCCGGGGGACAGATTCCCAGATATTCTTGATTGTAATTTTTAGATATTTTTAGATATTGTTGGATTCTTGAGAGTGACACTGACGAATTTCATCTTTGAAGCATTTGGTGACATTTCAATATATAGTGAGAGAGAATGGGTCCAGATTGGTCGAGACGGTCGACACTCAAAAAGTGATGCGTATCGTGTCGATCGTAGCGAGATGGAGCGACCCAGGTGGTGCGACGGTCAAAGCTTCACCTCGTGGACCTTGCTGGAAGTGAACGTGCCCGGGCCTTAGCTGTCCTTAGCTATGCTATAGCTTGGCTGAGCTGAGAGGCTGCACGGTCCCATGTCCCAGCTTGCCTGGCAATGTTCGGTGAAGCTGTCAGGTGTCTCAGACCGGCGTGAATGGGAGGCTCCTCCAGGAAGCCAAAGCGAACTCCTTAGACTTGCCCAAAGTGTCGCAGTTTTGCAATGCCTTGATGTTGATGGATGTTGATGCACATTTGACATATTTTGACATTTTGAATCTTGACATATTTTATCATATTTTGATATATTGTGAGTGTGTTTGAGGCCATTAATGTGTCCCTCCACTATTTGGAACGAGTTATTGTGGCCTTGCACGCTCGATCCAAGGGCAATCAGGCAAAGTGTCGCCCAAGGATTTCTGTACACTTTTCATAAGACATCATACGATCATAATACGCCCTTGCAGTGACGTGCTGGTGTGACCTTTACACCGAGAGTCAACCAGATGAATGGCAGGGATTCATGAGCAGGATGTATCAGGATCAGGATGTATCAGGATGTATCAGGATGTATCAGGATGTATCAGGATGTCTGTAGATATGTATCACAATGATTCATTTTGTATCGTGTGAAGATTGTGTTTTCCGACTGTGCCATGCTGTGCCTCTAGGCACATGTCCCCTATCGTGATTCGATGATGACCAGCGTTCTTCGAGACTCCCTGGGAGGTAATTGCCAGGTTCACAGAGCACACAGAGCACATGTCTTGCAACGTGGAGTGTTTCACACGTTTCACATGTCTTGCAATCGCATTGCAGAATCAGCTGCAGAAGCTCACTTGTTCCACAATGTTCCGCATTATTTCTTTCATAAAGTATGAACTTAAAACAATCTTTGAAGAGGTTGCATTCAGACGTGACATATTGATTTTATAAGATGTTTGCATTTTTGTACATGCCCCCGCAGACTTGAACGGGATACATCGCAATGCATGGGAGTCCACTAGTACATTCTTCTCATATCTTCTCATGCCTTCCATGCATAAAGGCAAGACTACTATGGTTGGTTGCATCGCTGCAGAGGCGCCTTGGTTGAAACAGAGAACCATGGATCCGTTTCAACTAGGAATGACAAACTCAAGAAACCCAGGGTGAGGTTTCTGGCAGTTTCCCCACGGTTGTTCAATTTACTGGCGGAAGACGTTGGAAAACTACCTGGACGCGACTCATGTTTCATACCTCGTAGTCTGCTTTGGTAGCCGAGGCTTCAAATATCTGCGAATCTATGTCCACATGTCGCTCCCAAGCTCACAGATGGTGTTTCCGTGTATTTCCATATTTCCTGACAGCACGGTAATTTTTTTCTTGAGAATTCCTTGACAGAGTCTGGTTACAAATCATTTTATGCACTGACAACAAAGGCTTTGCACAACGGGTTGCCCAAATTACCAACACTGCTCGGGTGAATGAGGACCGAGAGAAGCATTGAGCACATGGGCCCTGAATGTGTTTTGACGCCAGGAGCTTGATCCCAGCCTTCTTATTGCACGGCTCAAAAAAGAGGTGTCAGATTTGAAGCAGGAGGTGCAAGTCTTAGAATGTCTCACAACCATTCAGACATATTCAGACTTTATCATGAATAATACTGGTATAGACACAAAATCAATCATCCTTGCAGGTCAAGGTGGCTCGAATGAACAAGGAAGGAGAGGAACCTGAGGCACATCTGTCAATGTGTGGTTTATTGAGAAGAATCAAAGCAATTACTGGAAATTGTACATAAGAACATAATATAAACAGGATTAAACAGGACACCTAGAAATTCTTGCAAACATGATTGACATACAAGCCATCATATCATCAAATATGTAATATCTGGTGTATACTTTGCATTACTTTGCTATGTTCACAAGCTTTGGCCCTTTGGCACCCTTTGGCTCAAGACCATTGGAATTACAGCTGGCCTCGAAGCTGTTGCTGTTGCCAAGATGGCTATAACTGAAGCGGCCCATGGAAGAAACCGCCGGGAAGATCTGGAGCAACAGCCAAGGACAACACAACTTTGTGCATGGACACCCCATGGAGATATGAGTCAGACGAATGCACACCTGCGGGGAAGGCACGAGTTTGAACATCCTTGGAATCGATATGAATCTATATATTTCGTGAGAACAATGGCATGGATTTCATGACAGTGTTGGTCTCGTACTAGCAGAATGCTCAATGCCTTCACGCCAATTGTTCAGGCGGTTTGGGAGCACGGTCGACCTGCCCTTCACGTTTCTTCGTGGCTGTTTGGAGCCAGGACTGGTGACCTACCTGCTCAAAGTCTGGAACTCACATTGACATCTCAATGGAGAAATTGCTCTGGAACACGCCTTGTTTTTTTTTTGTTTGAGCTGTTTGATGCTCTCTTGGTGTTTGCTCGTTTGCTCTGAGTGGTTGTACTTAGTTGTACTTGCATGTGCGGCAAACTGCTAGCTACAATTCTTGCCACCAAGGACTCGTGCGTGAGATCTTTGGTCAGAGCCGATGTGGAGGAGCTGTGCCCAGAAGCTTATCGTGGTCACAAGGCCGCACTACGACTTCAATTTCTTTTGGTTTCATGTCTTGGTTCTTGGCCTTTGTTTCTTGAAACATCGTTTCCTGCGATAAAGGACAACACGGACGACATGTCTTTAGTTAACGTCTTTATATACATGTTTCTACATGTTTTCACATTCCCGATAGGCAGAATCCTTTCATGCAGTGGACAGCAACACCTGGCAGCAGGAGGCTACGTTCAGTTTGGATGCAGCCCTTTTAATCAGGAACCCTTCACTAAGATAAGCTAGATGATGAACCAACAATAGCAATAGATTTCCGCAATGTATTGATATTCTTTCAAATTCGGAGCTTCGCATCGACCTGTGATTCATCAATCTGAGACAACTGGGAGCAAATTGCGCTTTCAGATGTCAGACAATCATACTTAATCATACTTGTTGCTTGGTGGACATCAACCCATTCGTATTGCTTGACTTGCTCCCAACCACGCTTAGACTTCATCAGCATACCCAGAAAACAGCTGAAAACAGGCAATGATGGTAGGCTTTGAACATGAAGGCTTGCATCCGCCTGCAAGGGGCTTAGTTCTGATAGTCCTGGATCCAGTCCCTCTGATTCCGGGGAGAGTTTGACCTCAAAACATGTATTGACACGACACGGAGTTTTATCAGAGGTTGGCCGGAGGCTCTTTGCATTTGTTCGCGCTTGGCGCCAGGCTATCCACCGTGTGAAATCACTTGCCACGCTTGAAATATCTTGAAATCTCTGCAGATAACGCAGGTCAGTATAGGTCAGTATAGGTCAGTATAGGTCAGTATAGGTCAGTACTTGTCAGTGTGTCTCGCGCTCTGCTCGAAGGCCAACGACAAAGCAATCGCGGCCCTTGCATCGACAATGCAGGGAGCTCAGAATCTGAAGATCGTTTTCGTCACGTTCGCTAAGTTGGGATCCGGGACATGTCGGACATGTCCAAGGAATGTTGACAGAGGACGTCTCTTTGGATCAGTCACCATTCAGCACTTCATCGACCCTATTCACCAACAAGAGGATCCAAATGAAGTGCTTGGTGCTTTGCTGAGTAAGCTGAGTACCTCTTGATACTGCTTGCTAATATAGTTCTGAAACATGCTGAAGCAAGCTTGCCCCGTTGATTCATGCACCGCTTCCTTGCCTGAGGGTGGCATGTTGACTCATGGGCTTCAGCAGTTCACTTATCACTATCCCTTCAAGGCCAGCTCCTTACCACGATGCGAAGTCCATGTTCGCTACTGGATTTTACACTGAATTTGAGACTTTAGGACACCGCACACTCCATCTACGAAGCTCTGAAGGTCCAGGCTGGTTTGCAGTGTGTTCAAAAGCAAACATATCCATGCCAAAGAATCAAGCATGTCAAGCTTATCATTTGACTTCCATCTGACTCTACAAGTGCTTTGCCTTTGACCCAGAATGACCAACATTTTCCAGTGAGTTCTTTTTCGTATCTCTGCTTTCCTTTTCAATCCTTTTCATCTGTTTCGCTGGTGGCCAGGCCCAGAGACAGAAGCAAAGCTGTCGATGGCGCCCGGAGATGTGTACCTCAGCTCGCCTGCCTTTTTTGCACACGAAGTCCGAAAGCAGGAACTTTGATCAATTCGGAATATTGATGAATGTGGTACACATATTATTGATGAATATTGATGAATATTGTACATTTGTCATGATATGTAGCACTGTATCACTGTATCACTTTCTTTTTATAGTTTCACAGTTACCAGTTTCAGTTCCTGCTTTTCAATCATGCCTTGAGTCTCGAATTGGGTTGTTGGCGCATGTGTCAGGAGAACGTCGAAGCAGTGGCAGTTCAAATTCGAATTGCCTTGGTCGCGTCTGGCACCGAACCAGGTGTGGAAGCAACAAAGCAAAGTCATGAAGTTTCATGAAGTCACTATTTCAAAATCGTCAATATATATAGTCAATATGTTCTTGAACTTGCCCCAATGGACGGTGCATTCATCGCGAGGTGTGGAGGTTTGGCCTCTGATGGCTCAAAGATTGGCCCTGACTTTGCAACAGCACCAATGGTACCTCCCCAAGCTGACGCACCTTGGTTTGGTCACTGGTTTGGTCACTTCACACGGCGTAGGTGTCGAGATGTGACGAGTACATAGTACTGGATATTAATGTGGACGGTGCTTTTACAGGGGGTCCGCATTTGTAGTTGACGGATGTTGACTGTGGAGCTAGGCATGGCTCAATGACTCGTTTTAGAGGTTGCCTTTTCGTGGCATTGATAAGTGTAGTGCATCAATGTAGGTTTCGCAATGTTTCACACAGTTCTAACCTTGGGGAATTGAGGCAAGTCATCGAATGCAAGCAGGAGCTCAGACCCAAATCAAGCGCCACCTCTAGCTACATTACAGACCGACAGGACGACTTGCGCCAGAATGATGGGTACGAGAGGAATCGAAAACGGCGGAAGCAAAGTGATGATGCAAGTAGATGATCATTCAGTCACTGAACTTTGCGCCAGAAAAAATAACGAACTGCAACAGCTGCTGCAAACGACTTTTTGCAAGAACGGATCTGTTTGCTACACATTTGAAATTCACAGCATTGATGGGAGAGTCTTGCAACTTGATGGTTCCGGCTTGATGCAGGCAATCACCCCAGATGTATTGGAGCAGTGCAGGGCGCTGGTGCAACAGTATGTTGCAAAAGGCACTTGCGGACGGTGCAAACTGCGCAATACTTAAATTGTTTTTTCAAAGCTTGAAAAGGTGTCCTGGGTGAGGGGATGTTGCAATCCGTAGCACAATTCCTTCCACCCACATGCACAAGAGCCATTATTTGCCTTGGTGTATTCTTTACATGGGGGTATCGACTGGCGAATACTACTCGTAGAAGGAGAGATGATATATATATATATTAATATATATATATATATATCAGTTCATATCAGTTCTATATGTTCTTTCAGTTGGCTCTGCCCTTGATCCTGGGAAAGGTGTGGGCTCAAATGAACCTTTCCTCTGTGGCTCCATCGACAGGCCTTCTGCAGTGATTTCTAGCACCAAAATGTTTTATGTATTCTTTTGATACATGTTGATATGGGATGTTGATATTTTTGGTATTCGTTTGTTGATTTGATTAGATTTGATTAGATTTGATTTGACGTGCAGGATGCGTGCTTCCTTCCGCATTCTACGGGACATGTGCCTCGAGAAGGAAGGTACTAATCCTACCAAGTTCACTGCACAGTTCACAAGTCACAGCAAGACCGTCTTGAAATGTCTTGAAACAAGGTTCGGTGCAAGATCCTGCTGATGAAGGACTGGGTGAAGCAGATTCAAATAGTCTCGTGATTCATCATGGATTTGTTGTCAACTTTGTGGCTTTCTTTTCTCGCTTTAAAGTTAAAGGACGAGTCGCAGCCCTGGAGTCGGAGATCAAGAAATGGAAGCTGGAGGTGGCTTTGAGTGCCTTTGGGTCTGAGTGTCATCGTCGATGTTCAGGATGCTTAGGCCCTTCAGGCAGCTAACGAAACAGCTGCGACCCGGGCTAGAGCGGCTAGGGATTTATTTTGGCCAATAGTCATAGTCTCAATAGTCTTCAATAATTTTCAATTTTCAGACATGACGTTGGCGTGTGCCCCTGCAGGTGGCTCAGCGAGATCAGGCAGGGCCGAAAGCTTTCAAAGTGATGAACGCCTCATGAAAGGTGTGATTTTTTCACTTGCAAACGTACCAGGAGATTGCTGTCATGGTCAAGATGTTGACAAAGCAGCCACTTAGCAGCAAACGCCCAATCTTCTGCATTTCTGGTGGCCAGGAATTATAGGATACTACCAAGTGGAAGTTGTGGATAGTTAGTGCAGGGAATGGCGTTTGTGTCCTTGGCTGGCTCAGGAGAGCTGGTGAGCGTCCATTTATCTCGGCAAGGCCCCAGGCGGGAACCTATCCTCAGTGTAAAGTAGGAACGACTGTACCATCAAAGAGAGACTGAGATGTAAGAAAAGAGCAGGTGTCCAAATATGTCTTCTTTTCTGAACTTTGAGCGTCTGTTTGTTATAGCAGCACAGTGTTGGCAATATGTCTTTACTGCAGTGCAGCAGTTTTGACATCTCAGTTTCTGGCGAAAAAGGCGGCCATGTCGCAAACAGTAGATGCTGATCCACAGGAGCATGGGTTGCTTGTATCATCTTGTATCCTTTTCATGATTCTTATCTTTTTGCCTGCGCCGGTTCTAGAGCGTGAGAAGGTGTACATCCTTGATCCTCCTCAAAACTTGCGTCCAGGAGGGGAACGGGCCAGACGAATCAGTCCAGCGCGCTCCACCTCCAGCAGAAACAGCTGAAGCAGTGCCTTTGCAGGCACCACCGAAACATAGTCAATCAGTAACTATCAATGTATCATTAATGTATCAGTATCATTCAGTATCAATCATTTTGTTTTTCTGAGTTTGCTCATGATTTTGGCCAGAGAGTAGCAGAACACTAGAGTTGCAATTGATTTCCAATATAAATGCCTTCATGCAAGTAAAAAAGATCACAGTGCATTTGACTTCAGGACAAACACAAAAGAACGACCACAATTTATTGGTGCCACTGTACAAACAATATCACGAACATGCTGAGACTAAGCATCTAGGAATGGCACATCAGCACCCAATGGTTCAATAGCTATAATTGCTTCCTTGCAAGGATAACGGAAGCAAGCGCCCAGGCCAAGCGTTGAAGGCCATATTTGCTTGGAAACATTTGGAAACTAAGAATCAGATTCTTTGCATTTCTTTGCGTTGTTTTCTTTTTGTTTTCTTTTGAGGCGATTCTTTAGTCTTCGAGTTTTCTCTGTTTTACAGATCTAGGGGAAGTCGGAGAAGAGCGACGTCCGACCGGTACCGACACCGACCATGCCAACACCCGAAGAAGCGGCTGACCTATTGCTCGACAAGCAGAAGGCACTGGAGGTGCCACACTGAGAGCGTCGCTTGCCTAGATATGCCATGTGCCTAGTATAATATTCAGTAATGATAGTAATGCCTGCCAAGCTGCCAAGCCAGTGTCCGGGAGATGAACGTAGCACGTTGATACAGGTCTTCTGGCAAAAAGTCTACACGCCTCCTCAAGCTTTCAAGGAAAATAAGGCTTGGCTGCAGAAGACTGGAGACCTCATGACATAAGGAAATCACTGCACGGGGACACTGTGAAGAAGAGAACTTGCAGATTAGTGCAAGCTGGACTGACTTGGGGATCAATGACTCGTTGAAGGCCTTGCTGAAGGACAAGATCGAACAAGCCCAAGCACTCGGCAAAGAGGCTAAAGATTCATATACAGTATCCGTATCCGTTCTCAAGTGTTTTGAAGGTATAGCATCAATCTTATGTAATGGTGTGCTTGGTCATTACGCACAGCCCACCCTCCAGCAGGCACTTCAACTCAAAGCTGAGATAGATGCAGCTGGATGCTCAAAGCTTTGGAAGAGAACCTTTGCTGACTCAAAGCTGGAGGGGCTTTCGGCCTTTTTCTGGAGGCAAAATCAAAGCTCTTGAGGCTCCGAACTGAAAGAGCCCAAAGCTCAGCCCTTTAGTAACTCTAGTAGCTACTACCAGTAATTACTGAAGTTGTCACCGGGGGGTGGACATCAGCTGACATCAGTGCATTTCAGTGCATATCAGTGGATACTAGTTGTATGGAGATACCAGAATCTAGAATCGAACCTGAACTTTTGACTCTGAACTCTGTCCGGTGTGGCAAAGATTGGGGCTTTGAACGTGTACACCCTGGTTTGTTTGTTGCTTTTTGTTACCCGAACCATCAGACATCATTTTAATTCAAGTGCAGGATTTAGATCCTAACAACTTGGGTTCTCCTTGCACATTGGGCGAACTTTTACTGCTTGCAAGATCTTGCAAGCAATATTTTTTACAGCTCCAGACAGCAGGAATAGCCAGAAGCACTTGGATTGCAAACCTTCAGCACTGACATTGAACCAAATGGATGACAATGGATTGATATTATGATATTCGCTTCAGTTTGGGCAGATCCCCGTTTCAGATCTTACACGCATTTGGGGGTTGCCATTTATAGCTGACCACCCTTGGCGCATCCCGCAAACCCTTGAGCTGAAAATAATGCGTAAGAGTGGATCTAGTTTGGTTTGAGTGGATTGTCATGGAGGGTTTCTGATATATTACTGTATACTGTATTAATATGTGTGTGTATATATATAATATTATGAATATGTATGATGTGTTTTATTCTCCACGGGGAGGAAACAAAGCTGTACCCAAAGCCTTGAGCTTCCGTATGATGTGTATGTCTGCAAATTGCACTTCCGAGGCCATGACAGCAGCGGGCCATGATGACTCCAGCCCGGTTGAAGATGGCCCTGAAGAGTTGGCCGAGGTCGTGACCGTCATGGTACTCTCAGTAGGGCAAAGCCAATTAGTTGGCACTGAATGATCTGAATGCATACCGATGCCAGGTGCAGGAACGGGGGTTTGTGACCGTGCACCAGTGCACTAGAAACACACGGAAGCATGATAACACACCTTTGACCACTCCCCAATATGTACTCGTAGCATCTCGTAGCATCTCCTCCGATCATCCCAACTCATGCTAGACCTGTGAAATTTAGGTGTTAGCCACAGGTGCAGGAGATAGAACGTGTCAAGGGCCTTTATCGCGAGAAGACTGCAGAGCTGTAGCAGCCTCAATATGCCCCAGCAGAACATGACAACATTGACCTGGAAGAGCTTCCTCAGACAACTCTCCCTCTCTCTCTCTCTCGACTACAACCTACATCTTCATCATCTTCTATTCAATCTAGTTGTGCAAAAGCGTTGGGACTTAAACCTGAGGCGGCATGCGAAGAGTGATGTTGAAGGAATTCAGCGGATGCTCGAACAAAACCAGGCACAAGAAGTATGAAGCAGGAGACAGAGGTTGTATCAACTGGGTGCCACGTTATCAAGATGATGAAGTGGAGGAAGTGAAGGACACTTACACTTTCACTGCTAGGCCAAAGTTCGCCGTGAGTTTGAGAACTGGTTTGCTGGATTGAGGGGTGTCTCAGTTGCAAGAATTTAGTTGAGGTTAGCTGAGGAACAGCAGTTCCAGGCTTCCCAAGTTTCCCAGGTTTCCCGGGTTTTCAGATTTCTCATTGTTGCTTCGGGTAAAGTGTGAGGCTGCACTTTTCCATACTTTTCCGATAGAATCGAGATTGCTGTTTGTTCAACCTCCCTTCCAATTTAAGGTCGAGCGCACATGTCAAGACTGGATGAAGAGAAGAAAAAGGAGCTGCTAGACAAGGCCACTATACAGCTTGCCTGCGTCACTTGGTTGACGTATAGTTGCATAACATGGTCGAAGAGTCGAATAGAGTAGTCGAATAATGTTGAATTAAGTAATATGGTTGATGTTGGCACGTCCATTGACCGACTCTGGGCGAGGTGACCGGACAGAGTCAGGGCCTTACAGACCCTTGGGAATGAGTTTGAACGGGCCAAAAATCACCACCTTTGGATTGTGCCAAATGTGTTTGGGCCCAAGGTGGTGTAGGCACACCTGTGCCCAAAGAAACACCTGAAGTTTCACCAGTGACAGCTTCTAAGGCCGGCAGTTGACCTTGTGCTTATCTCTGGTTGCAAACAGTGCAAGCAAGTCGTTGCCACAGCAATTTCAGCAATCATTCCCTGTCAGATGATGCTGTCTATGCCTTCAAGGACTGCTCATGGCGATGTGTTATTTGGATGCTGCATGATTATGCAAATCAAAACTATGACCATGCGGATCTATGTGCATCATGTCAGGACTTCCAAGCCCCCACGGGAAGAAGAACTGGCGGCATACTATGCAGCCTTTGGAGAACTCTCCCGAAGATCTTGAAAAATCACCAAAAACCTGATGCAATTCTGCAAAAATGATCAAACATGTGGAACACCTGTACAGCTGCTGTGCCGCTGAGTTTGGTGCAGAACGTCCCAGCTCAGCTGCCTCCACGAAAAAAAGGTGTCATTTCTTCGTCAGCATTATCAGCATTGATGACCTGATTCGTGGAGCATGTATTGCGATTGCGTACAAACGAATCTGTGCAATGGCATTTTACCATTCTTGTTTTCCTGTCTGCAAGAAAGCTCAAATTCACCACATCATGAAAGAGGTCATGGTGAGGCATGATGTTTTTTGGATTCTTCTCCAAGGTCCATACCAAGACAACGCACCCATTCTACCGTGAAGACGTCGACAACCCGCTGGCTCCGAGAAAGGCAGCGCAGTCTCACACGTGCATCACGTGCTCTCGCATTCAGGTCCTAGACTCTACAGTACCCTGCGTACACAGAAAACTTTCAACGATACCATGAGGAATGAGGAACTGGGATACCATGGGATACTGTGAGATTGGAGGCATAGTGCAGCTGGACCAAGTATGTTGTTGGTTCATGCTTTCACATGATGTTCACACAATCTGAGTTGCGTATCTCCCTGATCTTTATTCACTTTGACTTTATCACTTCACTTCTTTAGCCGATCCACAAAGCAGGCGGCTGTGGTTGAAGGGTCCACTTCCAAAGTATTCACCTCAGTTCGCCGTGGTCTGAAGCGAATAAGTTTGGAATACTGCTGCCAAGTCAATACGTAGAAATAGCATGAAAATGCATGAAATAGCAAGTTGTGTTCAACAGGCCATGGAATTTCGTGATGTCAAAGAACCATGCGAGGTTTTGCATCGCGACAACGGCGAACCGCAGGTTTCGTCATTGCACTCTTTTGCTGATTGCTTGGCTGGTTAACAGGTCGATCTGAGCAATAGTAGAGAAGAGTTGATAGTAGCATAGAGTATCATATAATCATATAGTCAATACTGGTCATATTCTGGTCATATTCTGGTCATATTCTGGTCATATTCTGGTCATATTCTGGTCATATAGTAGAGATATGTAGGGATATGTAGGGATATGTAGGGATGCGTGCACGACAGCGTTGGCATCTTGCCAACTTTTTGCCAACGGTATAGGCGTCCCTGATTCGTGGTGATCTTCCTGGAGCTGTACCTCAAAGGCGGAATCTTGGAGCCGAGAACAAACTTGACTCGCGGCCCCTGACTCACAATCATTCAATTATCATATACAATACAATATATATATATATTATAATATATCAATATATTAATATATCACAAATGTATGGTGTTGCATTTTTTGATATTTTTTTTTGTATGCGATGTATACTGAACGTATATTGCAAGCATGATGCGAGCTTGTCCGTGTACTTTGTTGTCAATTTGTGGTAATGTTTTGTTGACTCGGCATTGGTGACGAGCTGCATTGCTTCTACGCATCATGTAGCTCGCGCCAGGTTCAAAGGTCATGTGCCAGTTAACATTTATGACCCACCAGAGGCTGCATCAATTGCACGAAAGCGTGGCTGTTTGCACTGCATTGTGGGCATTGCACTCACTCTGCATTGCAATCGCGGGATGTCGCACAGGTCACACCAGTCTCCCTTTTCACTGGGCTGCATTGTTCGGACATCGAGGGCGCTCAAACAGGAGTATGGAGAAGCATGGAGAAGTAAATAAATCGGTTCAGGGTCGTTCATGTTTGTGTCAATACGGCTCCCCAGTCCAGTTGATACTTTGCCAGGCACTAAACAACTTCTTGCACTCTTCTTGCGGCCATGAGACATATGAGACACAACCATGATACTCGTATCATCTCGTATCATCTTCCACACTTGGAGCTTCGAAAGTCAACATTGGAGCCCTGTCCGTAGGAACACGCAAAGGTGGTGCGTGCTGAGGCCAAGCAGTTTAAGACCTTTCAATTTTGTGGCAGGAACCAACTCTGTTCAAAGCTTGCTTGGTGGCGACACAGACATTGTCTTGGCGATTTTTGGGCTTAAGACAACACAAGCGGGTAGGTGCAGCAAAGTTGATGTGGGTTGAAGACCGATCAACGTACTTTTTCGTGACACTAAGGCTTGATCGCTCAATCATGTGCAACAGAAAGCATCGAATTTGAGGACATCGATATCGAAAACTATGATCTCACAGTACACACCGCATTCCTGTCCCTCTGCACCGGGTGCGCCCCAATACCCTGAACTGGAATTTGGCCTGCGAGCAGTCGCACGTGTGGCCTGTCTTCAAAAGTCGCAATCTCAGCTTCAGGTGGAACAGATACAGCATTTTTTACGCAAAAAATGGCAAAGTAATACAAACGACAAGGGGGATAGGGCCTTCATGCTTCTGATGTGAAGTGGAGGAGCCTATAGAGCCTACAGAATTCTTGAAAGACATAGAATCAAAAATGAGTATAGGCTGGATTAGATTGTTTCAGCTGTGTCAAAAGTTTTCCATGTTTTCCTGAAGTTTCTCAAAGCAATTCAGGAATTGGACCGCTAACGGGACCTCCCTTGACCTGCCAAGTGCTTAGATGCAGCATGATCCAGTTTTTTGATCGAAGTCGAATCGATAAGAACTTTGTCTCATTTCGCTTCGAAGCTGAGCCGTTTTCAGGGGCATGCTTTACTCAAGTTCATCAATGAGCTATGCGCACAGCCTCCCTTCCAGTGGATCAGGGATCCAGGCTGGGTGTGCACATAGGAACTCTGTGCATCCCTTTGCCAAGAATCAGCTCAGTCTTACAGTGCACGTGCCTTTGAACATGCCTTTGATTCGTTATGATTCGTTCATATCATTCTTTCAGTGTACTAGATTCGTTCATATGTCTTTGATTGTCTTTGTGTAGTGCTGTGTTTGTGCCTCATAGTCTTAAAGTTGGAGTTAAGGATAATGCAGTCATGCTGTGTCAGGAGTCATCGCCAAGCTTTGAGCGCCTGGAGATTCACAGCAGCTTCACTGGACCTAAGATGGGAACCATCAGTGTCTTTCCACCCGTGCTCACTTACAATGTTTCAGTGTATCATTGTATCATCTTTCATTTTGGCACATTCAAGTTGTGTTTGCAGGATCAGGCGCGAAGATTCGCAGGGAAAACTTCGAAGTTTACCACAGGACCTTGATGATGCTTCTCAATTTGGTGGTAAAACACCAAGTGCCCCCTTCCATGGCTGGTTGCATTAAACTCCTCGCGTCCCTGTTCGGCAAAAGGACACCCAGTGGAAAAGAACATCGTCAATCTCCTGAGAAATGTGCGGCAGGTTTGCAGCAGCTCATAGATCTAAGTCGTGGGGACAGATCGGAGAAGTGCAATGAAGTGTTTTGCATATTTTTGTATGGAATTTCGCTGAATTTTGCAATGGGACAATTTGGCAAGGACGAGTTGGCGCAACGCAAGAGCAATGCCCTCACCCATCTCACCCAGCGACTGATAAAGACAGGCATGACCAAAGCACAGCAATGGAAAACGGACTTTGTTAGGGCTGCAAAAGCATTGTCCTGTTCAGTCACCAAGGCCGAAAGAAGGTCTTACAAGAGACTTTGTTGCAGGCACATACTGTAATCAATGCTCCATTCATTATATGATATATAACTATATATATATATATGTATATATATATATAAAATGTATCATATTATATTATATTTATATTATATTATACTATATTATATTATATTATATTATATTATATTACATGTATATATGGATATGTATATATAATATATATAATTTAATATATATAATTTTATATATATCTATATGATATGTATACTGTATATCATATATACATGTATGTAGAGTCAGATTGAGACGAAGCCAGTTACAATCAAGTTCAACTCAACGACTTTTTGGGATTCCATGTACGCCTCTGAAATGTCATGAAGATATCATGAAGATGCACATTTTCAAATTCAATCACATATCTCAAATTCTTTGATTTGATTTGGAAGTTTGCCAAGTGCGCCCCGAATGAGTCAACAGAACGATCTCACCACAATATGCAAGGTGCCAGGGAGCTTGGCTTGAGTCTACAAGTTCGAGACATCCCTTGGCTGGACTGAATGTGTTAGTGCAGTGGAGCTCAAACCAAACACACACACACATACACACACACACACCTCTGTGTGTATATACATAATATACATATATATTTATAACACACACACACGCACACTTTGATAGTATCTGATATAAATACAGTGTTTCTGCCACTCCTTTTTTTGAATGATTTGGATACGCTGTCTGTGCTTGGATCTTTCCTGGGATAGTCCAACCTTTGATCAACACATCTCCAGGATGAAGACGAAGAGGAGGTCGAGCACCAGTCTTCCAACCTTGGAAAGGCCCGAGTGTTTGTTTGATAGATCTGGGATGATCTGAGAAGCAAAACTGTACACGCACTGCAAATGGCAGCACTTTGCACTAGGTGTTGGGATTTTCGGAATGCTGTTTCAGACAGAGATGGCAGTAATTGGCAGTATATAGACAGTATGGAGACTGGATACAGACAGTATTTGACGGTATCAACAACAGCCATTACACGTTTGTATGCGAAAGCAAGGCACAAAGGATCAAGCTGTTGCCAGGAAAACAGGCGCGGTCATGCTTTAGTGTGGAATGTGACAAGTGTGGGAAGGGCGACCGACAACCTTGTCATATCTTGTCATACCTTGTGTCATGGTCATTGAGTCGTGTGCTTTGCGCAAGAATCAGGTTTGCGAGAAGGAATCACCCATCAAAGTGGATCAGTGCAGTTCGTTGGGCCCTCGGGCTTCCCTACTTGCTCGTTGACCCTGCAGCTTGTGGCCGGCTGTGGCCGGCATTGGCCGGCCCTTGGCTTGTTGTCAAACAAGTGATTGTTCCGAATTGAATAGCCGTTTCGTTCATCAAACAATTCCGGTGAGAAACCATGAAAAACGGTAAACAAACTCAGGTCTGATCCTGTTGTGCCAGCAGTGCGACTTCCAGAAACCAAGGCCGGTCATTGGCATTGATAAATTCAAAATTCAGTATCCCTCCTTAAGTAGCACAGGAGCCACAGGAGCCACAGGAGCTGGTTTAGGCCCATCGCAACATCTGAGAGACATTGTTTTGTCCAACTCGCTGGTCAGAGGCATGTGGATCCATCAGTGCGCGGCATCGCTCATCGAGCCCTTGCAAACGTGCAAGCTGGCAGGCTCCGCTCCTGCTGAAATGTACTTTGTCTTGAAGACACCAAAGAAATCAACGTATCGTAGCAGCAGTACAACAGTACAACAGTGTACCTTC